CACCCCCGGCAACCGACCACTGGTCAGGAACTCATTTGTCTGGCCCGATCTGACAAAAAGGCGGAATTGCCCGGTGTCTCTGGTTGTCAGAGTGTTCTTTTTTCCTATTGCCCCCCCCCCCCCCCATGATTCTGCCACGTCGCTATAGAACCCACGATCTCCTTCACCATAGTACCGGGGGGTATATTACCTGCAAGAGCTGCAAAGCCAAGGTGGATGGAAAATGAGCCAAACAGCAAAGATTCTACCTTATTTATTCATCAACCGGCCTTGTACATGATACCTAGCACAATGCATAAGCACAATTCAAGAAAAACCCAGAAGAGGTAGGAATTCCAAAAGAATGGGCTTAGCCATCACCATGAACATTACTGAACAATGTGTGCAGAACAAGAACCGACCACCACTTCAAATATGAGCTCCAAATACCTGATGTATTTTTTCATTTTAATATGTATGCTGTCTGTTACTGTCAATTGGGTTTTAGGTACCATTCTTTCTAGATTTGAAGATTATATCTCCAGAAGTACCATTTTCTGGTTTTGTCTAAAAGGCTCCTGAAAAATACCACCATGATGAAATTGTAAGCAGGTCTAAAAGCCGTAATTCAGATGCATTTAGCCTACAATGTTTAATAAGATGGGCCGTTTTAATGATATCTCAGAGAAGTCACAGGGCCGTTTCAGGTTTGAGTTGCTGGCAGTAAGCACCAGCAGGATGCCACTAATTGCTTCTCACTGAAAATGTGGAGATTCAAAGGCAAGCCTTCCGTTCGACGAAAACGGGCAAGTAAAGCTGCGTGTCATCAGGCGGAAGCGGAGTTTCATGGGAAATAATGAAACAGCAGCTTCCCAGGGGCCACAGTAGAATATCAACATGTTCGCCCCCCCACACATCCTTATTCTAAGCATCGTATTCATTTTGCCTGGACATGGCCTGATCCACCACTACGTCTCTCCAATCCAGCCCCACAGCATCCACCGATAACTTATTACTGTACGTGACACCCCCTTAACGCTCGCAAAACATACCAACTGCTACTATTAAAGAGGTTTCAATGCCAAAGCTTATCCTTTTCTTTTTTTTATAAATTCCAGCAGGTCTGAGTTTAGCCACAAACACCCCCAGTGAGCTTTGACACGCACCTCTCCAAGTGCATTCCCTTTCCCCGGTTCAGTCTGTATTTTCAATGTGACAGACCACCCCATTTACCAAGTGCAGGTTACTCTCTCATTAAAAAAAGTTTTTTTTCCAATCTAAACTGATAAGCAAGCCAAACACATCACATGTCCAGCTGTCTCATTTTACAGAAATACAAAGAGGTTACTTGACAGCAGTCTGGTGTACAGCAGCTGACTCTTTGTTGCAAGTATCTCAGTCTCAACACACATCACAGAGCCACGTTTGTGTGAAAGCAAAGCAGGACCCACGGCAAGGCTGGCCCACGTGGCCACCGTGCTCCAGATTAACATCCCATAACTCTTAAGGGCTGGACTGAGCACCAGCATCAGGGATTCACTGCTACGTCCATGAGGAGAACCCCCAGAAATGAAAAAGTATCTAGCAACGTTCCGTGGAATGCCATCCACGCTGTGAGTTAAGCTGACCTTCCTTCACGTGCTGTTTGGGAAGAATGTTCATGAAATCCTGCAGAAAGCCAGAGGAAAGATAGGAGCCCCAGGCACCTCCCCAGCTAACGGAAGGCCAGCTAATTGAATTATTTTAACAACCTGCTAACACAGTGAAAATTATTTCAATGGTTTCTATCATGTAACCTGTGGGTTTCTGCCCCCCCGGTTGACTGTTCAGTGGGAAGGTTCTGTAATCTGTCCGTAATTTCAGCAGGACACACTGGATGGCCTGAGTATGTCATCCCTGCACCCAGAACCTCTGAGCCTTCTCCCAGACCATGCATTGCAGTTGGAGTTTAACACATGCATGCCTCTCTATTACATTCCCATCTGTTAATTAATAACCTGCTATTTCTGACCTGAGGGCAGCATCACCATGGCAATAAAATCACTGTATCCCGGGGGGGGATACTGCATCAGTTTGCATTTTTCCCTTTAAAACATACACGGTGCTTTCTTCCGTGTGAAAAATTCAGGTAAACTATTTATGTTTTGGAGCATGACTATAACATTCACGCCTCACGGGGAGCACAAAATTACAGTGAATTAAGGAGTTCAGAATTCCCAGATAGTGCCATGTTACTGTTTCAATGTTGAATTATACTTAAATGCGTTGAATTATGGTCAGTGTTAAATTATCAATGATGAAACTGAATTGATTTTTGGTCAGATTTTCAATATTGAAAAATTGGTGGTGGCAAAACCTTGATTCAATGTTGATATAAAGTGAGAGATTTAAGATCAACGTTGTTTCAACCTTTTTGTCTGATATGGAATCAATGTCATTTCAACATATGTGTGCTATCGGAGTTTGGACCGCAGAAAAGGCGCATTTCCTACAGCATCCAAAAGAAAAATACATGTAAAACTTTTCACGTTTTACCTCTACTGCGGATTTCCTGGATCTTGGGCCGAATGCATCCGTGTCTGTGAGAAACACGTAACCCCATGTTGCATTGCTACAGCCGGGCAACCCGCCACACACAGCACTTCCCTCACCAAGCAAACTGCCCCCCGGATGAGGGGAGCAAAGCGGCGAATGGGAAGGGCGGGTAACCGTGACCTGGTGAAGGCGAAACCAGCTTAGCGACATGCCGGCAGTCGTGTAGACATGGCGTAACGTCTCTCGCACCGACATTAAGTGACATCGGCCGGCGTGTGACTGAAGTCTGTTTCCCGCCTAAGCGAGCTCGTGTCTCCAGTTCCCCGCGCGTCGATCTCGATTTAAATTACCGTGCCCGCTTCAAAAGACACCGCGGCAGAAAGCCGGACAGCACCCCGGCACGGTGCGAGTCGCCAATCAGAGGGCGTGCAATAACTTCAAAACCGTTTACGAACAAGAAAAACTCATAAACACGGGCTTTAAAACTTTCAAAATGCCACATGAAACGCCTGACTCACTAAAGATGAGCAGCACGTACTGTAACGGGGATAAGCCGTAAATGCACAAAGGTTAATAACAGAGTTACACACCTCTATCACCACCTCATTCCATTGTGTGGAGAGGAAGACAGAGAACAAATGGCACACACTCAGCCCGTCATTTAAAGCAGTCAGCCAGACGAGAACAAAACACGCACCCCAGCTAAGAGAGAGAGAGCGCAGGTAGCGGAAAAAGTGCGTCTGTAGCGGACCATTGAGCCGGAGACTTTCAGGTGTAATAACCGAATCCACACAAACCCATAGAAGGATCACAGTGCGCTGACACTAGACAAGCAGCTATAATGCAAATGCACATTAATTATACCGGCAGTAAAACAGACTATCCCACCCAGGATTGCCAGTTAGTTAATCTGCGATGTTTTCCAGCCAGTCCAAGCTTTCAGCATCGAACATACTACGGCCACGCTCGTTTGAGGGCGGACTGACGTTTTCTTTTCCCATATTTCTTTTTTAACTTGATTTGAGGCGCTTTGGCTCAGATACCCCACCTTAACGTCGTCTGTGCCAAGCCCCAAAACGCAGCATGACAAGACCCGCGTCGAGCTGCGACAAACTCGGCTTTTTACACGGTAAAACAGGGACGCGGTGTGAATTTTAAAACGGCATTTTGTTCTCGGTGTCTCTCCACCGACAATTCAACGGAATCCACACAGGAACGCGTTACAAAAAAATTATACGAATTATTAACACGTGAATTAAAATAATAAAATTACAATGAAAAATGCAATGGCAGCTGGGTAAAACAGAAGCCATGTGTATGTATCCTAAACAGCAATCCCTTTTTGAACCTTTTCATATTCCGAGGTTCATAAAAAAAGAGACAGGGCCTGCAGATCTGGGCCAGGTATCATAGCTCCCCAAGACGCACTTTTGAGTTTTTAAGGGAGAAAACTATGAATTGGGTAAGGAGTCTGTTACAGAGGGGCATCATGACAGATTCTGGCTGGCTTTGTTACAGCCCGTTTCGAAGGTATCATTGAACACACTAAGCAAGCTTTTAATAAGCAGGCACACATGCAAGATGCAAGGTTATCAAGTGAACTCAATGTCACAGAGGACTTTAATTATGATTAATCATTAAAAATAGAAAGAATGAAGCTTTATTTCTCACTGTGAGCAAGACTATTAAACAGTGTCAATCTTAGGCTGCTGTCCATTTTTTATTTGGTTGATTCTCATTGAGTCAAACTGAACTGCATGGTAATCTTTCTCATCACGGGCTTCAGGGATGGGTTTGTCCAATCGCTAGTAATAATTTAAAATAGCTGTTGGCTTATACATGTCACACCCTTCAGACAATTACACAGTATAAATGTGTCCAGAGACAGAAACTTCCTTAAAACCATGACTATATCCTTCAAGACAAACATAAAGCCACTGTCAGAGCACAGCACTACAGCACAGCATATTACTATATATCGCCGCCCTGTAGGACAGGAAAACACCGCTCCCCTCACGCATCAAGCCAGGTTCAGAGCTGGGGCTGGACATGAGGCTGGCAAATCAATTCTGTCAGGATGAAGACACCCAGTGAACGGCATGCCAATACCGGTCAACACAACAAATCGATCTAATTGCACCCCGGCGCCATCGCTAGATTCGGCTCTCTCTGTGTTTCGGAGTTTTATTTTCTAGCTCTGTGGTGGAAATGACACTTCCTCTCTGACGGGGATCACGGCGAGATCCCCCCCCCCACACACACCTCATTTTTATTCATTAAACACGAGCGGCTGTCTGCACCCAGGATAAGTGTCCCAGGGTCACTGTGCCGAAGGGCGTTTTTTTTTTTTCCCCCCCCACTTTCACGGGGAGACGGCTCTGTGATCAAGCAATTCCATGGAAACACGGTTATGAAATATGAGCGGAAATGTGTAAGAACATATAGGGCTCCCCTCTGTGCCTCCCTGCTGGCACAGAGCAATCATTAACACGAATCAAACTAGGCGCGCCATGAAGGGAAGTTTAAGTATTCAAAAATAATCTACTGTTAACCTACATGTTAAATGCCCTCAGTAATCTTCAGTAAACATCCATGCCACGAAAATGAAAACAAACACATCGGTTCATATTAAGGCAGGTAGAGAATATGGGGTTTTCTTAAATTTATAGGTAACGTCTTAGGCAGTATTTCTCTTTTATTAAAAAATATAACAGTGGCCCCGGTGGCCGATTTGACCCACACCATGCTTCAGGAACCTTGTGACAGCACAGAACCTTGTCTCTTTCGCTCCTGGGCTTTGGAAGAGGTAGATGCAGGGACTGGCTCCTCTGAGGCTCAGATGGGCTTCAGCTCTGAAGCTTGCTGGGACCACAAAGGACTAGGTGTTTCTCTAAGGAGGGGGGGTCACGGAGTAACGGGGGTGCAGGTGGGCTGGAACAGGCCCCACTCCTCAGGAAGGGTGACCATTTAAAAAGAAATCGAACTAACATAACCCCCCCCCCACCCCCCCATGCTTCAGATTTTCTCCCGAGCCAAAGTCGTCAAAGGTTATTGTTTGACGGCCTTAATTAAATGAGGGAGGAGACCTGATATTTGCATAACTGAGAGGAATGCAGCCCGACAAACTTTTAATTATTCATAGGTGAGACAGGACCCCAGAAACGGCGTCGGGAGAACGCATGTAGAGAGGCCAGCAGCACGTCCACACCGGAGCTGCCGCTGTTTGCTTTGCGGGTCGTCGGGCCCCTCCCCAATTACCATACAGGGACACCAGCCTTGCATGAGGCAGGGTCCGCAAATCAGTTTCCCAAAACGTGACACCCCTCTCATTTTCACCACTGGCAACAGAGGCACAGTGAGAGGCCAGCCAGCAACACATCGAAATGCCACAGCCTTAGGAACGACACGGTGAGCAAGAGTGACCCCGTATTCCTGCTAAAACACGGGCATATTCAGATTTTGTACCACAATTACAGGGCTATTCTAACAGCCCTTCCAAAGGCTCAACTACTGGGCCGCTCACTGACAGAGTCAAGCGGTTTCTTAAGGGAATAAATATTCCTAAATAGCTAACGGTCACCAGACGCTGTAATGGCGATGATGATAAGTAGGACGGTAGGGGAATGGGCGGCTGGTGGGTCTTATTACCGCTAAAAGCCATGGGATTCGGATTACATCACCCTGCTCGCAGCCGTGGCCGGCGCAGCCTGATGGTCAATGCTAGGCGGAGCGGGGAAGTCATTACGTGCATCTCAAAGCTGCCTGCCTGACAGGGGGAGGCAGAGGTGCGGAGCCGCTTACAGGAGAAGAGGAGAGGAGGAGGAGGATTCCCCGTGCGCTCACAAGGGCCACGTTAACAAACCCCAGCCCTGGGTCATGCAAACTGGGAGAGCGGACTGCAGATGACACCGTTTGATTTCTGGGAGTGTGTGTTTCACCATAAAGGGTCTTTTAACCAGAACTAAAGCAGCATATCTATACACATTTCAAGCTTTCTAAGCTTCCAAAAAAAAATTCAAACAAATATGAATTTTTCATGTATATATATTTAGTTCTGAAACATTGAAGGGTGGGGACTGGCATGGTATTTCTTAAGATCGTTGTTAATCATTTATTTCCATTGCTTAATATTACAGAGACAAAATGGGGGGGAATTTAAAAATCAATTGCCACGGACCAACCGGAGTCATTATGTGGCATTTAGGAAAGATTGTTTTTAACCCTAGCAGCACCATGCAAGTGGGAATTCACCCCTAATGCTGATCAATAAAACAACCCTGCAATTTGTTAAGTAATCTAAACGTCCCTGGGGAAAACTGACCCACACGGACTAGAGAAAGAACAAAACAGGGAAAATAATGAAAACACTCGTGCAAAAGAAGAGTTCATACAGTTGTACAGGGTGTCAAATTCAGTAAGTTCAGGCTCTTTGGGGTTTTTATTCTGTTTTGCCACAGAAACACAGACGAGAAAATCTGGCAATATTTGTCAAATAAACGTGAAATAAATTGTCAGATAAATTACATTTATAGACAGGGTGCATTGTGACAGGTGAGAGCCAAACGAGTGTTTACTCAAACCCTCCTTTTGTTATATCGATCGAGGCCCCTATACGAGAAGCAAAGCAACATGCGCATTTCAGGCAAGGGCCTTTGGCAGGACTCTGTAGGCGACGCTGTGCCCCACCCGCCGCGAAGACCCGCCGCGAAGACCCGCCGCGAAGACCCGCCACCAAACCTGAGGCGCTGTTTCACAAGCGAGCCACGTGGCCGCCGCACTTCATAAAACATTTGTCTTGTTTAAACTTGGCCGTGATATGAATTGAGATGTCACGCCACGTACAACAAGCCAGGCTCTGAGTCTCCCCCCATGCCACTGGTTCTACTGGTCCATTGCAATCCTTCTGACACTCACTAAGCATTGTTTCCTCATTCAGCTCCTTTCCCTACCACAAGTTTCTGTGAAAAGTCTCCCCTCAGGACCATTTCCGGAAATATGCAGACAGTTTTGTGACAGATTTCTAACTGCAATGCCTGAGGTCAGTCATACAGCACCAACTGCATTGCAAGTGACGTCCGTGACCTTTGACCTCATACATATACCCCACCCCTTCACATGAAGGTAAAGAGCGGCACTTTGGGGGACTCCATTTGTGAAGAAAAGCCAGCTTTCTTTAAAGGAGTGACTTCTGGTTGTAGGAAGAAAAAAAAAAACAGGGGCGGGGGATTAATGAAACGACCACTAAGAATATCAAGCCTGGCTTCTGAGAATTAAATGCATCTCTTAAAGACTTTTCCACCCCTCTCGTCTCTTCTCCCGCTGACCTTTGCGAGTTATTTACCCATGGATTAGGGATGCGTTCGAGCCAATCCTTTGTGTCAACTAAAATATAGCGAACAGAGGAAAGCAAACAGGGCCCAAGAATTATTCAAACAGAAAGGTCATTGCGGGGCAGACAATGAGCTCTCAATATCAAATCAGGACTAAATCAATTTGCCATTATTACTAATTCATGCTTTTTATTTTAATCCAGCCTTTAAAAAAAGTGACTTGGTGTCTAAGGAGAGGTGGGGAGCGACTCCGCCAGCCGGCGTTCCCTGCATAACAAACACCGGTCAGCCTGGGAAATGCCATCACACACAACCCTGTCATGTGACTGAAGAGCACAAGCGCGAGCTCACAGGCCCCTGCAAGGAGTCACCATCAGCAGAACAAACACACCTCCCACATGTCCAATAACCACCAGACCGACAATACGGCAGCCAGAAATATTACCTCCCGTTTTTAAGCTATTTTTTCCCCACACGTACTGAATGTTGGCTACTTTATCAAACCAGTCCCTCAGAACTAGATGATGCTATTTTTCTTCTGTTTATCTATAATTTTAGCTATAAACTCCCCCCTTCCCTATTTCACCGTGGAATTCTTTTCAGTAAAAGCTTGCAGCAAACACGCGATTGGCTCCAACTCAGTTACACAAGATGGATGCTTTGAGCATCCAAGGTCTCCCATCTTAAACTGGCTTTGCGCCATATACAGTCTCTGCTCATGTCGTCCAAGGCCTCTGACCCCCATAACAAACCCTGGATAACTGTCACAAGAGTGTTCACAGCTAATTAGATGTCACTACATTAAGAACTTTGTTGAGTTTGGTGCCAAGTTCTACTCCTCACCCCCAAGGTGGGGGGGAGTCACAGAAACACACACACAGTCACTCTGTCAACCTGTAGCGAAAAAAAAACCACCCTCCCATCCGCCACAGAGCTAAAAGCTGAGCACTAATGACCCAGTGATGGCGGCCGGCCCCAGGATCACGCCTCGAGCCCACGTCCCAGAAAAACAGCACTGGCCTGATGTGTGGCCGTGCCCCGGAGTAACCCCGCCGAAGGGTGATCGCGTCGTTTACATGGAAACGGCGACGGGCATTAATCACCAGGAAAGTGTGACGGCTGCTCGCTTTCACCGCGTAATGCATCTTTAACGCGCCTCCAAAAACAATATGTTTTGATTTATTCCTATCTGGCTGAAAAATTACACAAAAAAAAGGGACAGAAGAGGATCGTCATTAAGCGTGAGCATTTACGGGGGCTCCAAGAAGAACACACCAGGACTAATATGCACTTTAGTTTGGGAACTAACAGAGTTAGACCAGTGATGGGGTCATGTAAGATGATACCAGAGAACAAATGGTTGCTTTCAGAGTCGTGGAAATTTAGCAAATGGAATTATATACAGATTTAAAAACAATTTATCTTCGGCAGTAATGCCACTAATTTACGTATTATCTTCCATAACATTAATAACAAACGGCCTGTTTTATAATCACCCCCCCCCCCCCAAAGTGGAGGGGAACCCTCCAACCGCTCCACTGTACAGGCCCACGCACTTCCACAACACAGTCTGCCTATTTAGCAGATGTGCAATCTTCTAAAAAGAAAAAGGGGGGGGGGGATTTCTTCATCTTCTAATCATTAATTTTGCCATTTGTTTTATATGCGCTAAGTACTCCCAAACACCGGGGGGAGCCGACAAAAAAGCAAATACCTGCCACAAGGGCTAATAAACTGCAGCTATTTCTGCATGATATTTCCTTGTGCGCTGTTGAGGCAGAATTCGGCTTGTGCATGTGATACCCAAAAATAAAACCTTACAATCCCTTTGCTAACAAATTTAGTTAGTAACCAAAACAGGCTTTTCCATGACCCTGATTCTGTTTCACACTGTCACATTTATTTGCTTAGCCGAAGCTCACAAGCTGCATTATAGCTATAACCTATTTGGCAAAACGACATAGCCACGTATTTTCTGAAGCAATTTGTGTTAAGTAGTTCTGTGAGGGATTCATTTTGGCCTCGAACTCTGTTCCATGTAGGTCATCTAGCTCTATCAATACAGAACCCCCCCAACAGAAACAGGCCTGCATGATTCTGACCCCCCAAGGGTGTGAATGCAGCTTGGATGTTACACTGTATTTACAGTATGCCACAAACTGTGTCATGTGCAGGTTTTAAGTTCATCTTCCCCATAACTTGGATTACACAGACTCTCACAAACAGAAGCAAAGCACAGGACATTGCCAGAACAAGCGAATAAAAACATTGATCTCAGGCGTCTAATTAAATGAGTTCTGCCTATAGTGGCCCACGTGTTACCATATAAAGCGGTCAACAGTCCGTTCACTAATTGCTCTCCATGACTAAACACACAATCCATTTCCCATGTTTTAACACACACTACACTTTCCACCTCAGCCACCCCTAGAAATAAACAAGCCTATAAACGGAAACGGAGGTGCAGATACACAACCGAGTTAGCGTGCGCAGTGATCGAGTGAAAAACTGGCCACCTGCGTGGAGCATATGATGATGTTTTTAAAATTAAAAACGCCGCCGGAACGTCTCAGGCGACATTTACCCGGCACATTTTCCAGCACCCAGACGGCACGAGGCAAAAAGGGCCCATGTCTCCAAAGTAAATAGCAACGGATTTTGCACCATTTTACGGTTTAGAGAAACGGATGGCTTTTATTTAACGCGGGCATGACAGAAAAACGGGGGCGTCATTAATATCGGGCATCACGCTCTATATACATATAATAACTATTTTAGAGGAGCGCAATTTAACACTGAACGCCGCACTTGATAGCGACTTCATTTATACTGTCGAATCTCCAAAAGCACATTTGGGTCAGTATTTCCGGAGAAGAAAACTGTAATTATTCACGCTTAATCGGGAAATGCACGGAGCAGGGGAAGGCGTTACTCTGGAGGAAACAAGCACTAAGAAGTTATTATAGCGGCGGCCGAGCATCCTTGCGCCGGGATCGTGGAGCTGCGGCGCGCCTGCGATGTGCGATTCGTGGCGCTGTGGGTTAACGGGAGACGGCAGCCGTTTGCAGACGCATCGGTACAAATTTGAGCCGCTCCCATTTACAGCAAGGAACATACATAATAATAATTGATAACATTTTGGGGGGAGAGTGCTGCGGGGTGCCATTTGTGCCTATTTAAGCTGAAATGCCAGCGTAAATTCATCTGACAATCTGCTAATGGATATTTTTACCCCGGAATATTAAAGTTAATAAATCACTGCCTGCCTTTGACGACCGTACCATTTCCGAATGACAACCTATATTCAACACTGCCAATACAATAGCTCACTTATACACATTTACATTTCTACATATACATTTTAACTGTCAGTATTTTTTGTCCAATTGCTTCAATTGACTTGAATGGCTAACCTTGCTTTCTGACTTTTTTGAATCGTTAGTCTACATCGCATTTACGCTATCCTGTCCGTAGACTTTAAGGCAGGCTAATTTCCAATCAAGATTTCGGGGAAATTAAAGAGTGATTCAGTAGAAATTGGAAACAGCTCTGAAGTGAGGTGTAATTGCGTTACGGAGCTCGGTAACCCGACACACGGCCCACGCCGGCCGGGGGACACCGGGGAGGGACGGGGGCGGGGGGCTGCCATTAACCCGGGCTGCACTAATTAGCGGCCAGAGGTCCCGTTACCGGACCGTGCACCAATTAAAAAAAGATGTCCGGCGTAGTGATTGCAAGTTAAAGTTAACATCTTTGGGGATTTCTGCTTTCCAAGAGGTTTAAATGTGAATTACGCCGATATACTGACCCTGTTACAAAAGGGAGGTTTTCTACAGTTTAAGCTGCTGAGTCAAGGGGGTTTGTCGCTCCCCAAAATCTCACTAAATACTTTCACCAGAGACCGCGGAGCCAAAAACTGGTTCCTGCTCCTGTGTGAGGTTTTTAAAATCAAAGCGTCGATATAAGCTTTCATGGAAGGAAATATCACTGACCACAGAGCAGTCGGAATTATGCAGTGGGAATGGTATCAAAGGGCACGTTTGGAGACCCAAGGTTATACCATGGACAGAAATGATATTTATATGGCAAAGAGTTATCAGAAATCAGTTCGAGGGCAAGGTGTCCAGAAAGGGGGACGACGACGACATTAGAAATATGGGCATTCACTGATTAATAGATATGCTTAAAGTGAAACTTAACATAATAATCAATGTCAACTCCCCTATGCCCATATGGCACACTGAATAGAAAAATTCATTTTTAACCATGTCTAAAAAATGATCACAGATATTACTTTTCAATTTGAAGTCAAACCTTTTATATTCCATGATACTATCTGCACTTCCCAGAACCATTTAAATATTTTCCCTCCAGCATCAGGATCAATATACATATACATTACAGTATTTTTTATTTAAACCTGTCTGCTGACCTCCATGGTGTTACAACACAAGCCTTTGACCGAACAATTTCCTGGCTGTCGTGTAAAATTAAAATCCCCCCACAAACCCTGTCAGAGTTGGCCAACCTGGATGCACATCTTCTGATTTACTGCCCTTATAGGGGGGTCGGGGGCAATCTTGGGCACATAAATGGAATCCCAGTAAAGCCACAAACATCGTTTTTTTTTTTATTGTTTATAATTTTAGGTGCATACACTGGATTTACAAACCAATGGATGTTTAAAAATGAGCGAGTGTGCACAACTGGATGGGCTCGCCAGCGACAGTGAATTTCGACTCACACCTGTGGATGTGAGACTGGCAGGTACGGTGTCGGGGAGACAAGCATCTCTACGGAAGGAACAGGCATCTCCCTGCTCATCAGCCTCGACCGGCGTCTTATCTCCAGAAATGCTGGCAAGAAACCGGAGGAAAAGGGAAAATTAAAAAGCGAACACCTTAATATGAACGCGTCGCAGGCGACGGTGACGCCGAGCACAGCTGCCGCATGTGACCCCAGATCGGGTCACAGTCACAGCGCTGGACCCAGGCCGGCCCAGACACAGACGTGCGCCGCATTACAGCAAGCGCCTGGGACCGCGCTGAACAGTCTTCCCTAAAGTACAGGCCTGCCGCTCAAAGACTGTTCTTGAGTCTGGCTGTCTGGCTGTTTCATGGTCATTAAAAGGACAAAATAATACTACATAAACATTCAATTCATTTACGATATATTACCAGCAAACAGAGTTAAGGTAAAATGAAATACGCACACAGCCTAGAGTTTTAACACACTTCAAACTGAGATCACTGCTGGAGAACTGAGCCCCCCCCCCCCACGTATTTATCCTGATCCATTTAGGAGTCATTAGGGAGACCCCTTCACAGCACATCCCAACCCCATACAATCCCACAGCACAGGCCAGACTGCAGCTCCCCCCCACCATTGGGGGCCAATTACACAGACACGCTCCTAACTTATTGGATTAGAAGGCTGGAAGTTCTGGCAGCGAGACCCTTCACTGATGGCCAGCGTGGGGTGTTGCTTTTCCTGGCGGTTATTGTGGCGGATCCAAGGACGGGGCTGGTGATGGCTCATTGTGTTATACCTGACCAATCAGCCGCTTAGCACATGCCGCAATCACATGACTCCGGCCCTCATTTACAACAATGCAGTGCAGCCTTTTCACCGAAAACATTCGGGTTTGGTGCTCTGCTAAAGGGGGAAATGACCTAGTGCATTGGCCGCTACACCCCCTTCTGGCCGTACCGCAATTGACAAGATTAATTTTGAGCTGCAGCCATGAAAGCTATATACATCAACTGCAAGAGTAACATCAGTACATTGTAAGTGAACACAATGTTTTTTATTATATTAATACTCACAATTCATATGTTATTCATGCCACGTTCAGCAAACAGCTGATGGGGAGGTGAGCAAGCCAGATTGCGTCTGCCATGAAGAGACCAGCCGGCTCGGCCTTCACACCCTCAGACTAGATCCTGGATTAACCTGTAATTTCTGTCAGTTTTTCAGCATCAAGTTATAATTGCAGCCAGCAGATAGGGCTGTGCGTGGGCGTTCAGGTGCCAGCTGTTGTACCCTTGAGCGAGCCGATCCAACTTCACACACAGCTCAGACAGGTACGAAAAGTTTGCTGGACTATTTCACCGAAAAAGAGCAGCAGCATGAGCAGCAATGACCCAGTCAAAGACAGCCAACAAACATTTAGGATTATGAGCTAAAACATATTTATTGATACTGGGCTTTAGCATTTCGTATAACTATGGCATGCACCTCTTTAGGTGGCTCTCACACGTAAATAACATATGAAGCATTAATCACACTTTGCAAGCAAATGACACAACACAGCGTGTTTTGACATCAGACTGTGTCAACCTTGACTCCATGATCAGAGGGTTCTACAACTGAAAAAGGCTCGAGAGAGACCAGCTGTTCCACCTTATTGCCTGAGCTCTGGGGAAATTCACCTTCCCCAGCTGAGGGTCCAAAGAGCAAATCAGTCTGAGGACATTACAGCGGAACAGTGAGACGGCTAGTTCTGGCCCCGATAGAAATTCTTGCCGGACACCTTTACATTCGCTGCAGCCGGAGGACGGCATTTGCTCCTTACAGAAGAGGAAGGTAATTAATTTAGACGTTAATCAATTTGTCATGTTAGCCAGCGTGCGAATAAGCGGCACGCTGGTGTCACCTTGAAGAGCCGTCCTTGCCCACGCGGTCCCCCGCATACGGGCCGGTATCAGAAGCCCAGCATACAGTACGATCGATTTGTCTTTGTAGAGCTGCCTGTCACTCTGCTGAGTGCAGATGCTCCCAGACTGTTTACAGGGAGTACACACTCCCAGCATGGATCTCTTAATAAAGCACCTTCTAGTCCCCCTTACAACACAACACAACGCCCTGTTTTCACTGTGCCTGCCACCATTTAATTAGACGCAGTTTGATTTGTTGTGAAATATACCGATGGTTTTGTTTACATTAGCACATCAAACAAGCGCGCTACCATTTTTAATTGCAATTAAATTAAAACAAGTTATCACATTTTCTATTAACATGTGTCAATGTATCCTTTTCTGGCACTGAGCGGGAATCCACAGAGAATCCTGTGCCTTATAAAAAATGTCTTTTATGATTTTTTTGTTCCCCGCATGTAGCTTTTCTTGATTTTGCCGCCCCTGCAGGTTACCGGATTTCTTATACTAGGATTCGAACCCACACCCTTTCAGTGACAGCCAAAGGTCCTCCGAAAGTGCGTGACAGCACTCAGGAGTTTTCACACACACACACACACGTCCCAGACTCAAGGCTGAGAGGAATGACGGATCGGTCTGCCTGTGTATATCCCCGGGATCGATTTCAGCTTTGCAATCAGCTTCACGGCTGAGAGTCACAGCGAACGTACGCAGGCTGCCATGATTTCCCCAACTCCTGACGGAACGTGTCACCTCAGTCAGAGTTCAAAAGAGAGCATGCACACCCAAATGTCCCTGCATTCCCCCCCCCCCCCCGGCCTCATGGGACAAATTATTTATTTGGCAAATGGTTTGTCTTGCGGTACCGTAACGCAGGTCAGAATGACCAAACAGGACCCTGCACGACCGCCCTGAAAAGGCTCGTTTACAGCTGTCCATATTCAGTGACAGGTCCAGGTGGTTCTCCAAAGAGCCCTGACCATCTCCTTCACTACCCTTCCCAGGATTCCAATGCGGAACCTTCCGGCGACGTGTCCACCTCACCCTTACGCAAGCTGCTAGACCTCAGCATAAAAGGATTCCCGGGATCTATGAACAGAGGGACGTCGTGAGGTAAACTAAAAGCTCCCCAAAACACATCAGTCACCAGTCTGAGCTGCTGGGGCAGAGTCCCCCCCCCCCCCCACTGAGCTGGGTGTCAAGCTGGCGTCTGGAGCCACAGATAAATTAGATTCTGCTCTATCTGCTCGAGCAAGTGGGAACTACAACATCTTAAAAACCCCGAACATGACATTTATTTTCTTTGAAGGAGAATCAAAATGGCTAAAATGACAGAACTCCTTCCTCCCTTTCAAGTCGTCTCAAAAAGTTTCCTTTCCTAAAAAAAAAAAATGTGCAATTCTGCGAGTACCAGAGTCTCAACTCATCCAACAATGAATCATAATGCCTTCAAAATTTACTCTTAAAAACATTGTTTTAACAAGCTCAATTAAGGCCGTTTAATAAAATTAATTGTCATCTCAACAGACTTCTGTTTGGCAGCAATAATAAGGTCATGTGCTTTTTATTGTTAAATTTAGAACAGAGAACTTGTGATTTTAGTTGCTAAAGTGAAAACATGGTGCAAGAAACCACATTTCTTCTAATAAGGTAGCAGATGTTAAATGGAGATTGTCTTTCACGCAACAGAAAACAGATGTCAGAACCATTTTATAAAATGGGAGAGGACAGAACTAATTAAAAAAGGATTTTTTCTTCAACAAAATTACAAGCCATTTAGCAGGAGTGTGGGGTAGAGTTAAAAGAGTGAATCATAGTTTGTTTTGAAGCCAACCACCAGTGAAAATGGGGGCTGCAGACTATGGTGGGGGCATGGTTCATGCGCACAGGTCCACAGCTCACGAGCCTCCAAGCTGCGCCAGGACAGCAAGCCATGTCAGAGTGGTGTGAATGCAGGCAAATGCTGCCCCCCCCCAGACAGGCACTCCTAACCACGCAAATCACCTACATTCCCACAATGCACTGCTCCTGTGCAGAAAGAGCCTGGAGCACACTGGAATGCTGTCACTGTCGTTTTCTATTTATATAACTATTAATATATAATTAAATATTAATTTCCTCGGCAGGCCCTTCTACACAAAGTGTAATATCTGGACTGCGCATTTGCACGTGAACCATCATTGCTGCTCCATATTTACCGTGGCTGTTCTGGAATGAATCTGCAAGCTTCTGGTCCAGCTGGCAAACCTAAACACAACCAGGTCACATAAACCAGGTTTACATAAACAGATCTGGATAGAAAATATCAGCGCCTATCTGCTATAGTTGTATTAATTTCATATTGTAGGGCCTACCTTACTTTCATTATCAGCAACTGAAGCTCATTTTTGGTATTTTTTTTACTGCTTGTGCCAATTAGTAATTTACAACTATTACAGGCTACACGGCCATAAATCAGGTTGCTGTGAGGGTGTCTGGTATTTTAAATATCCTGATGGTGCAGCTTCGTCATTTTTGTAATTAAAAGGATTTCTAATGCATTGTTATAGTTTCTCCAGGGCCTGGCGTGCACTCCTTAGTGGTTCCCAAACATCGCTCACCTGCATTACCTCTTCAAGAATTCAGCATCCGGCCGTAACTCTCCCGCACCTCAGACGTGCCGAGATGCTGTCCACCCATCTCATCGGAAATAACGCAAACAAATGATGTTCCCCAATAATCGATATTAATGAACGACTGTAGCCGGGATCAATTTTGCTGGGCCACACCGCCGCGCGGGGCGGCGAAACACCGCCCGCCGAGGGGGGGGGGCGCACACCTGCTTTAGGTGATCCCGGCGTATTGAATTTGTGCGGAGAGAGCGGCGTAGCCGAGGTAAGTTTCATTTTCGGAAAGTCAATTAATGTTGATAAATATATTCAATAAAAAACAAATTACATCGGGGAAGCGTACCCCGGCGGATCGCTGCCCTCATTTATCCCTAATTACAACATCCCTCTCTGCCCCTGCGCCGGCTCTTCACGTGTCTTGCCGTCTTATTGATCCCCTAATTGTGTTGTCTGGCACCTGCTTTCGGCCTCATAACTAACATTTCAGCTTCTATATAAGGTAATTATCTGTAATAAACCTCCTGATACTACAACACAGCGGAAAAAACACGCACAAGAACGTGGAATATATGAAGGCTGTCAGTGGTTTATCCAATACAAATGATATGGTATTACCTGGTATAACCTGGCCCTAACATCATATTACATCGTTTGGCGACCTAATGCGGTTTTGCTCTTGATTTATTATACCCGGGGATATTATGCATAACTAGTACGAAAATGTGAATAATTGCTGAACGTACAATTAGGCTACTTCGTGTTAAGTCAGAGGTCCCGGCGAAGCAAGTTGCCCTAAGGACGTAATTAAAGGAATGGATAAAAGCCCCGGACGCATTATTTGGTGGGACCTTTACTTCACCTCGGTGGATCGGTCACGTTTGGGGTAAAAGACGAAGGACTCGACATCAGTGTCCTCGCCTGGGCGTAACTCCGAGCCCTAGGGCGGGGCACAAACGGCGTCCGGCCGGCTGCCTGAACACCCGCGGCGCTCATTCACCGTACTTCAATCTTCCTTTATTCCAGCTGTCATTCATTGCTCTATAGGACGCCTACAAGAAGCATGCAAAATTAACATGTCATTAGTAAAGTACGGTACAGCTTATTTTTCCCTACTTAAGTAATCTTTAGGTGCAAAAATCTGTAGGTCTGTTAAATTTTATAGGAAGGCACCTTGATTCTATGGAGAATTAAAGTTTCCAGCAGTGGAATATTATCATTTGAAACCAAATTGCCTGAATTACTGCTGCTGTTGTTTAAGTCACCCCCGCCTAGCAGACAAGAGCCGTAATGAGTTAATCCGTCCCCTCAGCCCTCAGATTTGAGAGTGACAGTCGAGAGCCAAAGCGCGGGTACCTTCCTGACTCCGGGCGGGGTGCTGCAGCCTTTCATCTGACACCCGAAGGCGCAGGATCACTAAACTGCAGGAGGACCATGGCTGTCTGCTCGTCTGTCATAACTCAACAGGTTCACTGTTTCCATACCTGACTTCTCCGGATTTAAGAACGACATTTCATCGAGGAGTGAACACACACACTGCATTCTTAAAAAAATTAACGCACCAGAACATTTGCACCAGGGAATAATATGTTTATATATGAATAAATGTACTCCCCATAACGTTTTACGCCTTTACAAGAACAAAATCAATTCTGCATTTTATATGTTAGGCCTATATTTTAAACGCTTTTAAATTATCTAAATTATACGCCTATTTGTAAATTTGGCCGTATATTTAAGAGTTTTATGCTTACACCGTTAAAAAGTGCAAGAAAACTAAATCGCCACATATGGCAACACTACAGACACCTTCCAGGAAAGTTTTCCGAAGTTGCAAAACGTAAGAGACGGTAGTGAGAGCCGGAGCCCGAGCACGGTGCGCTGAGAGTCCGGTGAGATGCGTACCTCTCCGGGCGCTGCTCCCGTCCTCCGCGACGGCGCGGCGTGTGCGCGCTTCACGGTCACGCAAAGTTGGCTCGGAGACCGGCGCTCTGCTCGGGGTGCTTTCGGCTGGGAGTATGCACGGAGGATTTAGCAGTCACTGAAACTGACAAGGGGTGCCTTCTCTCCGTAACACACTCAGTCGGTCTTGTCGGGGCCGTCAAAGGAGACGTGCCGTATCTTCGCGTCCTCCTTCTAATCCCCCGGCGCAAAGCATGACTGCGCCCCGGGACATCGGACCGAGGTTTGCTGGCGGGGCGTCCGATGAGCGACGAAGCCGGAGTGGGCAGAGAGGGACGGCGAGACGCGTCCCCGGGGCGGCCGGGGCTGCGAAGCGGTGCGCGGACGGGCTGGGAGGCTGGGATCTAATGACGGTGCGGGCTGAAGTCCGGCAACGGCGAGCGAGCGCACCGCATGCGGCAGCTCGGGGGGATCTAAAGGGAAACAGCGACTCTCTCCAGCGTGTCTTTGCTTTAACCCGTGAAGATCAGAGGCAGGGGGCTCGTGAGAGTTTAACCCTGACAGCACCTCCCCGGCACCGTCACACGGCAGGCATCCGTCCCGATCTGCCAGCGTTTGCGGGTTCAGCGGCAGGGAATCGGGAGACGAAGATCACCAAGTCTGCCTGTTTTTAAGCATGCTGTTTATTATACATAGTAAATCGTAAATTGTTGTGATGAATGTGGTACAATTAATAATCAAATATTTTAAAATGATCCAGTTTCAGACAGGCTGTACATAGTTTATAAACAAGCACGTGTGCAATTAATCATCCACACACATCTAAACAAAAGTATAAGGGTTAGGGCGTAAAGGCGAGTTAAACGCTAAAACTGACTGTTCGAAGCTTTTAATTTGCTCGTGTTTTATCGAGTTCGTTTTATCACGATCGCAGCGCTGGGCACCTTGGCACACTCCCGGCCGCCCCGCGCCGGCCTATCTCTGCTGGTACCGGACCAGCACTACTAGGCTACGTGTTGGACTCAACCCCTTTCACGCTTGATGGTGGTGGTGGTTGCATGGGGTCAAATATCCACAATCACTATTTAAAAGAGAACAAATCAATTTGTGGCAGCACACACTCATATTCCTGATGCCAATCATTAAGGGCAGTGTCCTTTAAACGGGTTTGACATGCGCAGGAACAGCCCTAATGTCACGGTAAGTGTCACACTGCGAAGGGTGACAGTCCCTCCTGTGTCACCGTTCATCACTTCACCTGCAGCAGCATTTCGGCTTAAGTCACCACGTTTAAATGGTTATGGCAGGAAGTGTGCGGATTCTCCCAGAGGGGGTATAGACGCTGTGCGAAATTCCCCCCCCAGGAGTAGGCACAGGGAAATGGCAACCAGTATGCTAAAAATGCTGCAATAATGGGTCAAAGAAACTTAAAAAATTGGAAATGTCCCAACAGTAGAATTAAAATCAATTTCTAAAACTTTATTTACCAAAATATTTTATAAGCAAGATGCCCCAAAATGCTTTACAGAAGAATTTTTGGGGGTGAAAACCAAAATATTATGGGTATATTGTCTCGATCCAAGTAAAAAAAAAAAAAAAAACATCAACAAGCTCAGTGTGAAGAGGCAGGGGGCTCATGAGAGAGGGGGCTCATCAGTTTTAGCGTTTAACTCGCCTTTACGCCCTAACCCTTATACTTTTGTTTAGATGTGTGTGGATGATTAATTGCACATGAGGTGGTTGAAAACTGGACCCTACACCTACTGTGGAACTGAAGGGAAGTACTTTGGAATTAAGAATTTCAACTGGGGCAGAGTGATTACATGAAGAGCAAACACTGGGTTCAGTCTTACATCCCTGTAATGGAACCTGCAGCCTTTGCAAGTTTCTGTTTGTTTGTTTGTATTTAAGAACCCGCTCACCCCCCTCCTTCCCAGCCCCGCCCCCCCCGCCCCCGGCCTGCTGTGAATATTAAAAAAAATCAAATTGTTTATTATCCTTCCACGCTGCTTTATGGCACGTTTGGGAATATTTGACCAAGGTTCTCATAAACTCCGGCGTAACAAGGAAGGAGAGAAATCGGCAGGGTAGCAGTGGCGGAGCCTGTGGATCGTCCCCCGGGGGCCCATCGCGGTGCCGCTCCTTGCCGAGAAAATAAAGTATTCTTTAGCTTTATTGAAATTCCCGCTTCTTTCCTTCCCAAATGAGCGTCGCTTATGACAGGAAAATCAACATCATTTCTACTTCACCTGTCTGGAGACAAGTGGGAGTGGTTACACCCACACATTTAAAAGGCTCATACCACAATATACATGTTGGTCCCCCCCCCCCCATTTCCAGCAGACAGAGCTGCCCTCAGACTCTTTGTTAGTTCTGCTCGGCGGATTTCCTCCAAGACTTGCACTTTGTGAAGTTTCTACTGCAGTGTGATCAGGCGAGCACTGGCTCCTCACTGTAATACGCACGACATATATATTACATTCTCATGTCTCGTGCAGCACAATTCATTAATTTATATTCGTAAGATATCAATAGTGTGGCTGTAAGATCTTTGCACTAAGAATCGGCCTGCTAGTCACAGACGAGCAGGCTGCCTGTGTCCTGTCACGGCACCCACTGTGCTGGGCTGTAATCACGCTCCGCCTCGTCTTCCCTCTGCTTATCCCCGCACCCGACGGATGCAGGGAGACCGCACGTCATTCAGGATCAGTCCCTATGGATTATATCAGACGCCACAAATATTCCCTCACGTGCACGGCAGGCCGCGGTCCGTCTTTGCAGATTCAGGTATAAAAGTAGTTTTGTGTTTCTCCACTCGAACCCATTTCCTCAGCAGTACAGAGGAATCCTGACCACTTGGCCTCAGTACTTCAACTTGTATTTATAAAAATATATATATATTTATATATAATTATTATTATTTTTTCCCCAACTTCGAAACCCAGTGGACTGCAGAGAGGCAGGTTGTTAAAAATGCATGTGCAACATGCCTGCTGTGTCGATGCTTTCGTGACTTTTGTATTTTTCGACGGATACATGCAGAGAATGTCCACCAGATCTGTGTGTGTGTGTGTGTGTGTGTGTGTGTGTTGAAGCCATATTGGAGGTCTATAAGATGGCTGGAGAAGCACAACCAATCAGACCCCGGCAGCTAAGGCTCAGATATAATGGGAGGGGCTCATGTTGTGGGGGGTGCTGTCTGCTGGGGTGCATCCACATCAAACGGGGGGCGCAAATGCCAACATGCGCCCCCTTTCCACCTCGCACTGACTCCACAGCACCCCCCATATCAAGCCTTGGAGAGCGGCCCTTTTGAGTGGGTGCTGAGGTCACCCTGCTCTCGGGTGACAGACACGCTTCTGAAGGAGCCCCTTAGCTGTCCTGAGAGTTGCCGTACTGCGGCATCTGTGTCACTGCCACTGGAGTGCCTCGCCAATGTCCAAGCCTGGGCTTCTGAGCACCGACAGACCTTTTCGAGTTACACACTCCACA